GCGGCCTCGAGGTTGGTGCCAGGGCCGTCGACCTCGGGAGCAGCGCTGATGTGGCTCCCCGGCAGTATCACCTGGAGGTGTATTATGAGTGGCTGCGCGTCCAGGTGAAGGGCCGCTGCCCTGGCGGCCCGGTTCTTCTGCCCAGGCCCCACCGACGACTCTGCATGGGTGGGCTCTCTGCCCGGACAACCCGTCGAGCAGCGCGGTCCGGCCGAAGGGCGGCACCCGCAAGCCGTGTGCTGTGGGGGCCGTGGAGTTGCTGTCGTCGACGAGCGTGGAGCTGGCCGAGCGTGGGATGTGCCTGTGTTGCCGCCGGGTCCAGACGCAAATGAGGAGCTTGACGTCGTCCAGTGAAGAGGAGCTGCCCTGGAGACGGCCGTTGGTTCGCCGCACGGGCGGGGAGCGGGTGCCGCCCCTGCGGGTGTGGCGGCTGTGGTCATGGTGGAAGTGGCGTCTCACCTGCGCGACGTCGCACGGGCAGCTGGTGTGGAGAGCCAGGCTAAGACAGATGCCGACTCTCGCGCTCCTCTGCTGCGTGCGATCCCGCCCCCGCTCTCGGCGTCCATGCGCCCACGTGCACCTTGCGAGGCCCGCTCCCTGCAGGCCGCGCCGGCGCTGCGGTCTCTGTCGGAGGCCACCAGGGGGTTGCCCCGCCTGTGCCATCGCAACCTTCACACCCGAGCGGCGCCAAAAACGGGTCTTACGCGAGATGACATAGCGACCTTACGCCGAGGCTTGCGCAGGCCACCAGCGTGACACGCCACATTGGGAACGAGGGCGCCTACGCACGAGCTTACGCAGGCAGCTTACGCGCCAATGTCGGCGCAGACGGCCCCGCTTTTTTGCGTCTCTCTCCTGGGATGGCTTCCCAGAGTGTCGTCATCAGCTCCAGAAGTCGCCCGCGGTTTTCCGTTGATGCTGCTGCTGGCCACAAGCCCCCTGACCGAGCTGAGCTTTGGGAATGGTGGCTTCTCGATCGCGAGGGTGCCTATCCTGATGTGTGTCGACGTGCCCGGCCCTCTTATTCCTGAAGGGGCACAGGCACCAAGGCCTTCGGCTTCCTCAGGCGACAAGACACGTTGAATTGGGGTTGTGCCCCCTTCCCAGATCCCAGACGTCATGAATTTTTCATGACGTCGACCCCCAGCTGTCTGGACCCATTCCCCGGGACCGGTTTTTCGCCCTGAGTCGTTTCTTGACGGTCCCGAGGGCCGGTATGGGCCCCCAGAGGCCAAGAAAGAATGAAGAACCTCCCGTCGTGATTCTTTCACAACTCGAGGGGGTCTGGGTCCGTTGATGTGTTCATGCAGCGATGGCCTTCCACCAGCCTTGAGCTCCCTCGGCGTGGGTCGCCCCCCCTCTCGCCTGCCCTGCTCTGGCCCCCCCTGTGCGGGGAGGAGGAGGAGGAGGAGGAGGAGGAGGAGGAGGAGGAGGAGGAGGAGGAGGAGGAGGAGGAGGAGGAGAGAGGAGGGAGGAGGAGGAGGAGGAGGAGGAGGAGGAGGGAGGAGGAGGAGGAGGAGGGGCCCAGGCCCTGCACGCACACGAAACACGGTGTGTGTGTGTGTGTGTGTGTGTGTGTGTGCGCCCGCCCGGCTGCTGCGCGACTGCTCCCTCGGCACGGGTTGCCCGGCCGGCCCGTCTCTGTTCGGCCTCGCTGGGGTGCAGTCGGGCCTGTCCCCCCACAGGGGGAGTTCTCGACGACAAACAGAACATATACCCCACATATAGTCAGAAGATAGTCCCAAAAATAGTCCGGGGACTATTTTTGGAGCATTTTTCGATCATTTTGGACAATTTTTTGGGTATTTATATTTTTTCGTCGAAAATTCCCTTGTAGGGGGACACGCCCGACATAACGCTGGGGGCAAATCCACTTGTCGTGTTTGGGTACCTCCGCTGCTCCTGCATTCTGGCGTGTCCGGCCCCCGTGTTTTTTAGAAGAAGAAGGAGAAGAAGAAAAAACCTATAAACATAAACTTTTGGCGCTCCGCGCGGATTTCTTGGATTCGCGCTGGACCCCCCTCCCTGGCGCGCGGAGCGCGCCAGGGGAGGCGCCGGAGGCACTGCTGGGGGGCCCAGGCGCGGATCCAAGAAATCCCGCGCGGAGCGCCAAAAGCTTATGTTTATGGCGTTCGTTCTTCTTCAAGTCAACCTGTCGCGCGTGCTGCCCTCTCCTCAGCAGCTCTGCCGTGTGCTTGCCTGTGGTCAAGCGTGGCCTGCCTGCTCTCCCGTGGCCGGGAAGCCACTCAGGCCATCGGAGTTCCGCTCGAGCGCAGCTCTGCTTTCGACTTACCTCCTCCTTCTCCTCCTCCTCCTCTCATTCTCCTCCTCCTCTTCTTCCTTCTCTTCCTCCTCCTCCTCCTCCTTCTCCTCTCTCTCCTCTGTGTGCAAGAGCCATGGCACGCGCGGCACTTGTCTCGCTCTGGGCTCGTTGCTGTTGCCAGCCTCCCCCACTTTCCATACGCGTGCCGGCGCCGACCCAATCGGGTCTCCGAGCCTCGCCTGCGTTCCACCGCACTGCTGCTCTCAGCTGGTGCGCATCCGTCCTGGACGCCACTTTCTTGCTGCGGGGTTCACGCCTCTCCGCGGCCCCTTCCCGCGCAGGGGCTGGCGCCGATCCGGTCGGATCTTCGAGCCCCCCTCGCATTTTTAAATAATGCTATTTCATGTTTGATATCTCTCTTTCTCTCTGTTTTTTGCGTATATGCATATGCACATGTATGTGTGTATGTGTGTATGTGTTTATGTGTGTATGTGTGTATGTGTGTATATATGTATGCATGCATGCATGCATGCCTGTATGTATGCATGCATGTATGTATGTATGTATGTATGTATGTATGTATGCATGCATGTATGCATGTATGTATGTATGTATGTATGCATGTACGTACGTACGTACGTACGTATGTATGTATGTATGCATGTATGTATGTATGCATGTATCCATATGCAGATATACACATATATATATGTATATGTATATATATATATATATATATATATATATATATATATCACCTGTGCTGTTTCTTCCGAGCCAGCCGATGAGTCGAACACGCCTCGCGCAAAGCCCTCGGCCTACTAAACACCTCACTCCTTCTCGTCGATTCCGCGGCGACGGCAACGACGACAACAAGGACGCGAATTTTTCCTTGCGGGGCTCCCCAGACCAATCGACCCCTTCCTCGGCTTGCATGCAAGTGTCAGGGTGGCCCTGCGCAAGAGTGACCTTTGGTGCGGGGGGCCGCGGGGGCGCCAAACCCAGACGCGCAACCTGCTGCCATCGCATCGCATGCAGCGATCGGGGGACCCCAGTGGGCGCGCACCAAAGGTCAATCCAGCGAAAAGTCGCCCTTAGGTCGAGTTGACCTCCTCCATCCCGAACCGTGTCTCCGCGGGCCCTGAAGCCCGAGACGGGACTCCAGAGGCCGAAGACGACGACAGACTGGCCGCCTCGACTCTTCCGATGCACGGGACGCCTGGGGAGGCGAGGGGGGGAACGTTTGGAGGAGACTCGGTCAGGGGGGAAACGTCGACGTGGACCTGGCGATGCATCGCCGACATGCCCCCGATTGCGAATCCGCGCTTTGCTGTGCGAGGAGACTATCCCCCCCTCTGATGGACCTGTTTTCCACCACCACCACCATACGTTGGAGGGGGAGGGGGTCCTCCTCCTCTCCCTCCTCCTCCTCCTCCTCCTCCCCCTCCGCCTTCTCCTCCTCCTCCTCCTCCTCCTCCTCCTCCTCCTCCTTCCTCCTCCTCCCCCTCCGCCTTCTCCTCCTCCTCCTCTCTCCTCCTCCTCCCTCCTCCCCCTCCTCTCCTCCTCCTCCTCTTCGTCGTCGTCTTCCACCTTCTCCTCCTCCTCCTCCTCCTCCTCGTCCTCCTCCTCCTCCTCCTCTTCCTCCTCCTTCCCCCATCCAACTGATGGTGGTGGTGGTGGAAAACAAGCCCATCACCCTCTGATCCTCGTTGTCAAGTTCTCGCGGGTCGGTGCGCGGGGGTCTCCGGCGCGGCAACTCGGGGCGATGCCACAGCACTCCCGCGGAACGCTCTCGACGAGGCTCGGCTGGTGGAACCCGCCCGGGGTCCCGAAAAAACTGTCGAAAATTGCCGAAAAACCCGTGGAGCCAGTCTTAAGTCGGGCATGTCCCCCTACAGGCGGATTTTGGACGAAACAAAAAAAGTCCCCAAATTTTCGAAAATGGCCAAAAATGCTCAACAAATCGTCCGCTGACTATTTTTTTGGCTATTTTTGAATACTCCTCCTGTAGAGGGACAGGCCCGACTCAAAGCCAGTCTCCCCCTTCCGATCTGAGGTCGCGCACATAATCGCAACATCGCGGAACATCGCGACCATTACCACCAGACCACATCATCCTGCGGAGTGTCTCGAGCTGGGTCGATGGGTGGAAGTCCCGAAGCCCGACGTGGGGCGAAAACGCCCGGAACGAGCAACATGCGACGCCAGGATCTTAATGCCTGACGTTGCCCAGGAGGAGGAGAAGGAGGCGGAGGCGGAGAAGGAGGAGGAGGAGGAGGAGGAGGAGGAGGAGGAGGAGGAAGGAGGACGGCGAGCAGGAGGAGGGGAGGAGGAGGAGGGGAGGAGGAGGAGGAGGAGGAGGGAGGAGGAGGAGGAGGAGGCGGAGGAGGAGGAGGAGGAGGAGGAGGAGGAGGAGGGAGGGGGAGAAAGAAGAGAGGAGGAGGCGTTGGAGGATGAGGAGGAGGAGGAGAAGGAGAAGGAGGAGGAGGAGGAGGAGGAGGAGGAGGAGGAGGAGGACGGCGAGCAGGAGGAGGAGGGGAGGAGAAGGAGGAGGGGGAGGAGGGGGAGGAGGAGGAGGAGGAGAGGAGGAGGAGGAGGAGGAGGAGGGGAGGAGGAGGAGGAGGAGGAGGAGGAGGAGGAGGGGAGGAGGAGGAGGAGGAGGGGGCGGAGGAGGAAGAGCATGAGGATGCCAAGGAGGGGCCGCCGAATTGCCGCCAGTCTTGCGGCTCGGGCTGTCCGCGGCGGGCGCGCCCGCGCCAGCCGAGCAGGGGCGGCGCTGCGAGGCCAGCGTGCCGCGCCAGGGCCTCGCGCCCGCATTGGCCGCCTTCGGGTCGTTCCCCAGCTCTTCCCGCCCTTGTCCTCGTCCTGGTCGTCGTCCGCGTCGTCCTCCTTCTCCCCCTCCTCCATTCCTTCTCCTCCTGTCTAGACAAGCGCGTTCCACTACTCGCACTGTAAATACTCGCAAATGGTCTGGACCCGCCATGGGGATGTAGGACGCATTACATCGACGTAGACATGTGTGTTTTCGGACGTTTGCGAGTAGGCACCTTGAGCATTTTTTTATTCTGGGTTCCGGCTTTAGGCGCATGGGGGGGAGGGGGGGGGGGGTCCGGCTCTCGGCCCGTAGTCAATGCCCCCGATTGAATCATGTGGGGAATCCTGTGGGAGATGCCGATGAGGGAATCCTAGGGGAGACCCCCCATGGGGGAATCGCGCAGCGGCTGCGCGGGGCTGCGCCAAGGCTATGCGTGATTTGGCAAGCCTGTGCCAGAATTGCTAAGGATCACCTATTCATGATTCCACGAGGCCGTCGCTGGCATAACAGGGGAGGGCCCAGCCGGAGGCATGCTTTCTGGCGATCGGGTCCGGCGCCCCTGAGCCCTTTCGTTGTGGTTCCAGAAGAGTAGCACGATAAAATGCGCACAGTTGCACACATCAGCGATTCGAGTTTCTACCGGGGGAGGGGGGGGGGGCGCCGGCCCCTGTAGTTCGTCCGATCGATTGAAGCAGGTGCCAAAATCAGCCCGGAACTTCTCTACGGGGGGGGGGGAGGGGGGGGGCGTTCCGCCGAAAGCAAAACAAATAAATCCGCCGACCCCTTGGGGTTCATCGGCGTGTGAGATGTTCCCCCTCCCCAAACCCCTCCCCCGGGAGCCCGGTCCGGTCCATTTGGAGGGGGGGGGGGGTCCGGCCGGACGGGCCGGAACCCCCCGGAGGTCTCATCCGCTCCCGAAAAACGTGGAAAAACACGTGAAATTCGTGTAGGGACGCGTCTGGTGGCCTCGAAATGGGTTTGGGACGCCCCACGAGCGCTCCAAGACGTCCAAGTTTGCCCGAAGACGGGCCACGAGGCGTCCTCGACGGCAGAAGAGGTCCCCACGAGCTCCCCCGAGGGCCTCCGAGATGCGTTCCACAAGGGTCCCTAGACGCCAAAATTGGGCCATTCCCATTGTGAAATGCACATTTTAAAAATTCAGCTTTGGATCTTTCCGATGCTCCCCGACGGCCCAAGAGGCTCCCAAACCCGCTCCCAGACGGCCCCAGAAGCCTCGCAGAGGGTCCCCCACAGACCCCTAGAGGGCCCAAGATGGGCCAACAGGCGTCCAAGACGGCCCAAGAGGGCTCCGAAAACGGCCCCAAGAGCGTTCCAGGAGCGTTCCGAGTTGCTTCCCCGAAGCTCCACATGGTCCCAGACGGTCCAAGAGCGATCATAAACATCGACGACGACCTCCCGACGGCTCACGAGGCCTCCCCAGACGCCCCCACAGGCATCCAAGATTCCCCCCAAGAGGCCCTCTAGACGCAAAAAATCGTTTGTTTCCTTCGTAAAACTAATCTGTTTTCACACGTGCGCTTTGGGGGGTGACGAAAAACGTGGAAAAACACGTGAAATGCGTGTAGGGACGCGTCTGGTGGCTTTGAAATGGATTTGGGACGCCCCACGAGCGCTCCAAGACGTCCAAGTTGCCCGAAGACGGGCCACGAGGCGTCCTCGACGGCAGAAGAGGTCCCCACGAGCTCCCCCGAGGGCCTCCGAGATGCGTTCCACAAGGGTCCCTAGACGCCAAAATTGGGCCATTCCCATTGTGAAATGCACATTTTAAAAAATTCAGCTTTGGATCTTTCCGATGCTCCCCGACGGCCCAAGAGGCTCCCAAACCCGCTCCCAGACGGCCCCAGAAGCCTCGCAGAGGGTCCCCCACAGACCCCTAGAGGGCCCAAGATGGGCCAACAGGCGTCCAAGACGGCCCAAGAGGGCTCCGAAAACGGCCCCAAGAGCGTTCCAGGAGCGCTCCGAGTTGCCTCCCCGAAGCTCCACATGGTCCCAGACGGTCCAAGAGCGATCAGAAACATCGACGACGACCTCCCGACGGCTCACGAGGCCTCCCCAGACGCCCCCACAGGCATCCAAGATTCCCCCCAAGAGGCCCTCTAGACGCAAAAAATCGTTTGTTTCCTTCGTAAAACGTATATTGTTTCACACGTGCGCCTTTGAGGATGACCCCCGCTCCTGCACGGCCCCAGAGCCCCCCAAACCCGCTCCCAGACGGTCCAAGACGCCTCCAAGAGGGTCCGTACATAGCCCTCGAGGGCCCCAAGACGCGCAAACACACGTCCAAGACGGCCCAGAAGGGCTCCGAAAACGGCTCCGAGAGCGCTCCAGGAGCGGTCCGAGTGGCCTCGAAGAGAGCTCCACATGGTCCTCGACCGTCCAAGGGCGATCACAAACATCGACGACGGCCTCCAAACGGCTGAAGAGGCCCCCAAGACGGCCCAAGAGGCATCCACAATGCGCCCACAGAGGGCCTCTAGACGCAAAAAACCGCCCGTTCCCTTTGTAAAACGTATATTTTGTCTCACACGTGCGCCTTTCGGGGTGCCCCCCGCTCCTGGACGGTCCCAGAGCCCCCCAAACCCGCTCCCAGACGGCCCAAGACGCCTCCAAGAGGGTTCCCCATATAGCCCTAGAGGGCCCCAAGACGGGCCAACAGACGTCCAAGACGGCCCAAAAGGGCTCCGAAAACGGCCCCGACAGCGCTCCAGGAGCGCCCCGAGTGGCCTCGAAGAGAGCTCCACATGGTCCCCGACGGTCCAAGAGCGATCAACAACACTGACGACGACCTCCAGACGGCTACAGAGGCCCTCAAGACGCCCCAAGAGGCATCCACGATGCGCCACAAGAGGGCCTCTAGACGCACAAAAACGCCCGTTCCCTTCGTAAAACGTATATATTTCTCGCACATGCGCCTTTTGGGGTGTTCCCCGCTCCTGGGCGGCCCCAGAGCCCCCCAAGACCGCACCAAGACGGTCCAAGAAGCCTCCACGAGGGCCCCGCGACAGCCCAAGAGGGCGCCAAGACGGGTCTCAAGAGGGGCAGAGGACGGCCCAAGAGAGCCCCGAAGACAACGCGCGCGACTCGCGGTCAGATTCCTCGCAACTTGCGTCGCTTCCCGCCGTGCTCGTCACTTGCTTCCGCAGGGCGTTTCGGCGGGTCTCTGACCATGGCCTGAAACGATCGAAGGTCACCCCACGGCCGCCCCTGACGGTTCCAAAAGACACCGCAAAGCAGTTCTGAGGTCACCAAGGGCATACCACAGTCCTCGGCAACAGATGGCGACGGCCAAGACGGCCGAAAAGAACGCCCAGAGCGCCCCATGACAGCCCAAGAGAGGCCGATGACAGCCCAAGAGAGCCCCAAGACAGCCCAAAACTGCCACAGGACGGCCTAAGGGGCCCCAAGACAACCCAAGAATGCCCCAAGAATGGCCCAGGGGCCTCAGACCACCCAAAGAGGCGACCAGACCACTGCGCGATTCTTCATAAGGGGTCGGCGGATGTGGCGTAAGCCTGAAGAATAAAAGAATGCTCAGAACGCGCTCGGTGATTTTCCTGATTACAAGAGGGGCACGCGTGATCTGGCTCTTGCACGAGGGAGCGCCGAGGGAAGGCAGACGCATGGGGGCCAGGTGCAAGGAGTCAGGGAGGCCCGAGATGGCCAGGGCGGCGAACGACGACGACGACGACGAAAAGATGGGGCTCCGCGCCGCAGGGCCAGGCCGGAAGGGCCCGACGACCGCGGCCACGGACATATAGAGGGCTCCGAGCTGCAGAACACAGCTGCGCAAAAGGAGGAGGAGGCGGAGGAGGTGGAGGAGGAGGAGGAGGAGGAGGAGGAGGAGGAGGAGGAGGAGGAGGAGGAGGAGGGAGAGGAGGAGGAGGAGGAGGAGGAGGAGGAGGAGGAGGAGGAGGAGGAAGGAGGAGGAGGAGGAGGAGGAGGAGGAGGAGGAGGAGGAGGGAGGAGGAGGAGGAGGAGGAGGAGGAGGAGGAGGAGGAGGAGGAGGAGGAGGAGGAGGAGGAGGAGGAGGAGGAGGAGGAGGAGGAGGAGGAGGAGGAGGAGGAGGAGGAGGAGGAGGAGGAGGAGGAGGAGGGAGGAGGAGGGAGGAGGAGGAGGAGGAGGAGGAGGAGGAGGAGGAGGGAGGAGGAGGAGGAGGAGGAGGAGGAGGAGGAGGAGGCGGAGGCGGAGGAGGAGGAGGAGGAGGAGGAGGGGAGAAGGAGGAGGAGGAGGGGGAGGAGGAGGAGGAGGAGGAGGAGGAGGAGGAGGAGGAGGAGAAGGAGGAGGAGGAGGAGGAGGAGGAGGAGGAGGAGGAGGAGGAGAGGAGGAAACAATCCGAAGCCCTGGGGGGCAGGGAGGCCAGGGAGGCCAGGGCAGGGGGGATGGCAAGGGAAGCCCCGACGCCACGACGGCAACGGAAACGGAGCAAAATCCGAAACTGTGTGTGTGTGTGCGTGTGTGTGTGTGTGTGTGGAGGTTTGGAAAGGCCAGGAGGCCGAAGGCCAAGGCTGCGGGGGAGGCCGGGGCAAAATGGGGCCCCGGAGAGGCCACGATGACGCGACCACGACAGAAACAAAGCAATCCGTAGCCCCCCTGGGGGGGGTCAGGGCAGGGGGTCCAGGGGAGGCCATGACGACACGATGACGACGAAAATCAAGCAATCCGAAGTCTTGGGGGGGGGGGAGGGCAGAGGATGCCGGGGAGGTCGGATGCCAGGGCTACCACCCAGGACTGGACGGAAAGAGAAAGCTCCGAGCTCTAGAAGACAACGGTACAAGATCATCACTCCTCCCCGTCGCACCTCCAGGCGTGTTGGTAGGAGAGGCCAGGCGTTTCGCCTGAGACTCCCTCACAAGTTCTGATCCTGAAGCTTGAAGTGCGCAACAATTTCTACGGATGGAAAGGGGGGCGGTTTTCAAACATGTGACTCTTGCGTTAGCGCCGCGCGCATACGTCTTAAAAGCGTAAAGAGATTTCACGGATTGAAGGGGGGGGGGGTCGTGTTGAAAAATGCGGCTCTGGCCTTAGCGCCGCGCGCATTTGTCTTAAAAGCGTACAGAGATTTCAACGATGAAGGTGGGTGGTCGTTTTCAAACTGTGGCTTTCGCCTCAGCGCCGCGAGCACGTCTGAAACATTTGCAGCAATTTGAAGGATAGAAGGGGGTCGTTTTCAAAATGTGGGTCTCGCCTCAGCGCCGCGCACGGTCGCCTAAATGGTTTGCAACGTTTTTGCGGATATAGGGCGGACCTTTTTAAACTTTTTCTCTTCCCCCAGCGCCGCGCACATTCATTCTCTAAAGCTGCAGAACAGACATTTCAAAAACGTGCCAAGGGGTGGTGTGGTTTGCCCAATGTTTGCTGTCGCCTCAGCGCCGCGCGCATTGCTTGAACCGTTTGCCGGAGCTTGACGGACGGAGGGGGCGTCTTCAAGATGTGGCTCTCGCCTTGGCCCCACGCGCACCAGCCCTACACTTTGACTGGATGGGGGCTGTTTTCCAGACGGTGCTCTGGCCATGGCGTCGCGCACATGCCGTTTCGAACATTCGCACTCGCTTCAAGGCTGGAGGGCGGTTCTTGCTCAGAGTGGAGCTCTCGCGTTAGCGCAGAGAGCATTCGTCTCAACATCTTCCAACCGCTTCAAGGATTGAGCATTGGTCGGTTTCACAATTGGGCCATCGCCTGAACGGAGCGAACGTTCGTTGTTTAGTGCGTTATGTACCATGGTGGAGGACTACTCTGTTTCAGGATGGAATTGTCGCCTGAGACTTCGTTCAGTTTGAAAGGCCCAGGAAACTTCGACGCACGCATGGCTGCACGTATCCATGGCGGCTCTTTTTCCCATGAGTTCCTAAGAAGTCTATGGCCACACGTGTAAACTTACCTGTGCAACAAGTGCACGGCTGGGCGGTGGTGCTTCTTCGAAGCGGCGATCTCGCTGGACACCTCGTGAACTGTACGATCAGTAGCTGTCGCGTTCCTGCTTGCGCGCAGCTATGATGCAATACAATTCTCCTTCAAAGCGTGGCCCTCCCCCAAAGAACAGGCCCAACCAGCTGTGCTGGTCTTTCAAGGGGGGGGGGGTGTGCTTCTTGTAGCGAAACGGAACTGTGTCACGGCGTATGGAAGGGGGTTATTGGAACGGGTGGGTGTGCTGCAGCATCATGAGCGCATCTTTGGTTTACTCTGGTCCTCTTCCTTCTCCTCTTCCTCGTCTTCGTCGTCGTCGTCGTCGTCCTCCTGCTCCTCCTCCTCTTCCTCCTCCTCCTCCTCCTCTTCCTTCTCCTCCTAATCCTCCTTGTCCTCCTTCCTGCTGCTGCTTGCGCTGCTGCTCTTCCTCCTCCTCCTCCTCCTCCTCCTCCTCCTCCAACTCCTTCTTCTCCTCCTCCTCTTCCTCCTCCTCCTCCTCCTCCTCTTTCTCCTCCCCCTCGTCCTCCTCCTCCTCCTCCTCCTTCTCCTCCTCCTCCTCTTCCTCCTCCTCCTCCTCCTCCTCCTCCTCCTCCTCCTCCTCCTCCCTCTCCTCCTCCGCCGAGAGACCAGGAGGGGAGGGGCTGGGGGTGTGGGCTGGGCCAGAGAGGCCGGGCCAGGGGAGAGAGATGGGTGAGCGGCGCGAGGGACGGAGGGCCCATGAGAGGATGGAAGGGCTGGCGACGGGGGAGGCTGGAGAGTGGGTGAGCGACGGGTGAAGAAAGCAGTGGGAAGGGGGGGGGACAGGGCAGGGGGAAGAGGCTAGAAGAGGGGATGGGGCCGCGGGAGGGCAGGGGATCAGAAAGGAGAGGAGGGTGCTGGAGATGGATATGATGGAGGAGGAGGGGGAGGAGGAGGAGGTACATGAGGAGGAGGCGGAGGCGGAGGCGGAGGCGGAGGCGGAGGCGGAGGCGGAGGCGGAGGAGGAGGAGGAGGAGGAGGAGGAGGAGGAGGAGGAGGAGGAGGAGAGGAGGAGGAGGAGGAGGAGCGGGAGGAGGATGAGGAGAACGGGGGTCAGCGGAGAAGAGGGGGCAGCAGGGCGTCCCGAGTAGGGGAGGCACGTGGGGGGCGGGGAGTCCATATCATCCTTCGCCTCCTCGTCTTGTCCCTTCCTGCTCCTCCTCCTCCTCTTCCTTTTCCTTGTCCTTAGCCTTGTCGTCCTTCTCCCCCTCGTCGAGTTCGCCGTCCTCCTTGTCCCCGTCCTCGTCCTCCTCCTCCTCCTGCTCTTGCTCCTTTTCCTCGTCTTCATCGTCTGCGACCGCGTTCTCGGCCTCTTACCCCCTCCCTCCTCGCCCTGCCCCTGACCAAAATCAAACCAGAACCGGTTTCCAGACATCTCCTAGGGTCAATCGTGGCCAAACTTCCGAGCTGAGTCTGGCCGATGCCACGAGGGCCCCATGAAGCGCCCGAACACCTCCAGAACGAAGACGTCGACGTCGATGTCGACGTCATCGTCGCCGTCGTCGTCCGTCGTCGTCGACCAAGGTCGGTCGGCGTTGTTGTCACCGCCGCCGCCGCGTCACCGCCGCCGCCGCCGCCGCCGCCGCCGCCGCCGCCGCCGTCGTCGTCGTCGTCGCCGTCGCCGTCGTCGTCGTCGTCGTCGTCGTCGTCGTCGTCGTCGTCGTCGTCGTCGTCGTCGTCGTCGCGAGCGGCTGCGCCGCCCCGCCCCTCGTGCCTTCCCCCCCCCCCCCTGGGCCTCCCAGCTGGACGGCCGCAGGCGGCGCAGCTGCGACGCGCGGAGCCCCGCGCGGGCGCACATCGCCCAGCGCGCGGGCGCCCCGGTCGCGGCGAGGGGCGCCCCCCCGGCTGGGGCGCCGCGCTGGCCGCCGGTCTTTGGGCCGAAGCTCGGCGCAGGAAGGCGTGCCCTCTCGGAGCCCCCTGGGCGTCGCGGGCAGCCATGCGGGCAGGCCCTGCTGCTGCTGCTGCTGGGCGCTCACCACTGAAGGGGCCGGCTGCTCTTGGTCCCCCGTGCCTGGTGCGCGCAGCGTGCTGCTCTGTCCAGCTGGACCGCCCCACTCGGCCCTCGCACCTCGTGTCTTCACCGGGGAGGGCTTGGTGGCTCAATTGCTGCGCTGCTGGCCCCCCTGGGCTACTGCTACGCCAGCAGCAAGCATCTTAAGGCTGTTCGCTCTTTGTTGCTCGCGTGCCACTCTGGCCATCGATCGGACGTCCATTCACTGTTTTTTTTTCGGTTTCGTGCGTGTTTTTTTCGCCGAATGATCAAGGATGCTCCTCGATGGTCCTCGCCGAAAGAACAATGCACACGTCCGAGCGATGCCAAGCCTGCCACTTGACATGCATACCCTAAGCCTTCGATGCCTGCCCTCTGCGTCTTTTCGATCGTCTCCCCGTTTGGGGGGACCTCTCCCTCTCGTGCCGCGTGCAGTTGGCGCGGCCCGAAACTGGCAGAGGAGGGACGAATGGGCCCCAGGACACACAAATAGATACCCACACAAATAAAACTATCCCCCATATTTTCATATATATATATATATATATTTTTTGGGGGGGGTTTGTCTTCCCCCCCCCAGTTCCCATATTTTCTGGGGAATCGACGATTCATTGTGTCTGTGTGCTTTTTCCCCTCCTGAAGGGAGACAAGCGAAAGGGAGAGAGCGAGGAAGGGAGGAGGAAACGAAAAGGGAGGGGGCAAGACGAAGGGAGGAACACTGAGGACGGAAAAGATTCAGCAGGAGGGGGAGGAGAGAAGAGCAAGAATATTGGCGAACGGACCCTAACGGGCGGGTCGGGCGGGCGGGCCCCAACGGGCTGGCCTGGCGGGAGACTAAAGCGAACTTCGCCGCTTGTGACGAAGTCTCGAGCGAGAACACGATTCCTGAGTATGTTGTGAGGGAGTCTCGTGTGACAGTGCCATTCTTGAGCGTTAAGAGCGCGGCGCCTGAATAAGTTACAAGGAGGTCCCATGCCAGAGTGTGCCTTTGAATGCACTGCGAAGAAATATCAGGCGGGATCCTTACTGTTGTAGTCCCGGGGCCAACGACGCAATGCAAACAGGGTGCGAGCCCCAGGGGGGGCACTTCAAAGAAAAAACAATGGGCACTGGGTGGGGGAGATTAAGAATGATAGTTCAACGGCTCCTGCCTGGGACTTCCTCACAACGTCTTCAGGAATCACGCTCTCGCTGGAGACTTCTTTGCAATTTGCTCACGAGTCTGCTCTCGCCTCAAGAAGTGTCATAAATTGTTCAAGATTCGCGCTCGCGCCGCTCTAGAATCGTGCTCTCGCCTGGAAATTGCTTGCCATTCAGAATCGCGCTCTCGCCCGGGACGTCCTCACAATCTGGAGCCGGAACCGCGATCTGAGGTCCCACCGGCGTCCATCCCGGCCAGCCCCCCATCAGCCCTCTGGACGCGGGTGGTTTACTGAAACCGTTCTTCCAATCCCCTCCTCCTCCTCCTCCTCCTCCCCCTTCCCCTCCCCTCCTCCACCTCCTCCCTCCCTCGTCCTCCTCCTCCTCCTCCTCCCTCCTCCTCCCTCCTCCTCCTCCTCCTCCTCCTCCTCCTCCTCCTCCTCCCCTCCCCCCTTCCCCCTCCTCCTCCTTCTCCTCCTCCCCTTCCCCCCTTCCCCTTCGGGGAGGTCTTTGCCCCTCCCCCTCCCCCGTCCCTGGCCTGGACAAAAAGGGCTGGCCCGATCGGTCCGAGCCTCCGAGATGGCCCGAGGTGGTCCCGGGTGGGCTCCAAATGCTTCCCAAACCTCTAAAGAAAGTCAACGATTCGTGTCGTCGTGCAGTTTTGCTTCCGATGGGCCTGTGACGCCTCGAGATGGCTTCAAGATCGCCCCAGAGAGCCCCAAGATGATTTTCTTGGGCCTCGAAGAGATCCCCAAGAGCGCTTTCAGGGCTCCCCAAGAGAGTCTCAAGATTGCCCCAACAGGCTTCCAAGAGGATCTTGGAGCGAAAGCTGCGCGAAGTTCCTCATGGTTGACTCTTGCCGTCGTCGTCCTCCCTCTCCTCCTCCTCCTCCTCCGCCTCCTCCTCCTCCTCCTCCTCCTTGTTCATGTCGTCGTCCTCGTCGTCGTCGTCGTCGTCGCGCCTTCATCCTCCATCCTCTTTCTCCGCCTGCTCTTGATTCTCTTACTCCTCCTCCCTCTGCACCCCCCCCACCTTCCTCTTCATCCTCCTCCATCCTTCCCTTCCTCCTTCTCCACTTTCTCCTCCGCCTTCTCCTCCTCCTCGGACGTCAGCCTCAATAATTCCACTCCTGCGTATGCTCAGGCTAAATTCCGAGCTTGGGCTGGACGGCGAACTCACATGTCTGCTCCACTGGATGCTCCTACACTTCCCTGATCAGGAGAAACAGCCTGGCGATTGTGCTGGGATGGGCTGGTGGGGGCACGCGATGCGTCAAGACCTTTCTGAGCCGCGTCCGCCCGACGCACACAGAGAACCTCCAGGAACGCCCAGAGACCTGCGCGACAACGGCCACGACGGCGGCAAAGATGCCGACGGCCACAAATGCGACGACGACACCGATGCCGGCGGCGGCCCAGACCTTTCACGGGCAACGTTCTGGCCGAATCTCGGGGCAGATCGTTCGTGGCCGCGATGGCGTCTCCCAGAGGCCCCAGAGAGGCTCGAAGTTGCTCCCGAAGCCCTCCTCGACCCCCGATCGATCGACGGCGACGGCGACGGCGACGACGACGACGACAGCGGCGACGGCGGCGCCGATGAAGACGGCGACGACGACGACGACGACGACAACGGCGACGGCGGTGTGGGCGAAGACGGCGATGGCGATGTGGGCGATTCCGGAAACCCAGACCCCCGACGTCATGATTTTTTCATGATGTCGACCCCCGAGGTCTGGACCCATTCCCCGGGACAGGTGTTTTCCGTCCCGAGTCGTTTGCTGTTGCTCTCGAGGGCCGGTTAGGGCCCCCCGAGGCCGAAACTAGCGACAAACCTCCCGTCTGGTTTTTTTCACAACTCGAGGGGGGCCTGGAAGCCTGCATCCCAAACTGTGGACACCTCGCCTTGACATCCGCCGCCGCCTCCGCCGGCCGGCGGGCCTGCCGCCGCTCCGCTTCCGCTGGTCTCCCGCGGAAGTCGAGGAGATGCGCTGTACCGGCGAGGCCCTTCCCAGCAACGGCCCCAGACCTCCGATTTCCCGAAGTCCCGACCCTTCCCCCAGGGCCTTCCACTCTTGAGTACTCCTCCTGCAGAGGGACAGGCCCGACTTCACCCTGGGGCCCGGCGGCGCCTGCGGAGGCAGCAGCCCGGCAGCAGCCTTCCGCCGGCGGCGAGCGGCGGGCCCCCGTCGCCCGCCGAGGCGGCTCTCCCAGTCCGGGGCCCCAGGGGTCCCAGGCCCCTCCCCAGGGCTTTGGGGTGACCCCCAAGAGGGGGGTCCCGCTGAAAAGGGGCGGTGCAATAGACCTGGGGCAATCGCATCGCAAGTGTACTACGCCGGAGAACTGTATCGCATCGTACTGCAAGGAATGCATTGCACGCGGAAGTCCGGCAGTACATGTGCGCCCCGGGAATGTATGGCACGCCCCAAGTGTCTTGCACCCCCACGCATCTATTGCACCAAATCTATTGCACCACCCCCTTGTCGCTGGACCCCCTTTTGGGTCAACCCGAAGGGCGAGCTGCTCGTCCCGGATCAAGTGGGAGTGGGTGTGGACGGAGGGGGAGGGGGAGGGGGAGGAGGAGGAGGACGAGGAGGAGGAGGACGAGGAGGAGCTGGACCCCCTTGTGGGTCCACCCTTTCGTGGCCCTGGGGCCCGATGGCGGGCCCCAGGGTCGCAAGCCGATCCCCGGTCCCGCTCTGCCCTGGATCTCGAGGCGGGCCCGGCCGTGGAGCCTCCCAGAGGCCCCCCAAACGCACAATAATCACTCTCTCTCTGTTTCTTTCTCACACTATGTTTCACAATATAGATGTATATATGTACACGTACATATTGTTATACACATTATATATGTATATATATGTGTATAAAAACAAATGTATGGCCCTCGAGCTTCGATCCTCGAACCTCGACCTTCGAGCCCATCGACCTGGGAGCGGCGAGTCGCGGCGAGGGCCCGCGCGGTGCCTCGGCCGCCTCGCGTGCCGCGAGGGCCGCGGCCTGGGCGCCCCGCGCGGCCGCGAGCCGCGCGGCCGCGCCCTCCTGCCGCGGGGGGGGGGCGGGGCCCTCCGGGAAGCGACGGCGGCGAGGCCGACAGGGTCGCCGAGGGCTTCACGACTGCTGCCGCCCCTCGACTCTCGGGTCGGGCGAAAGGGGGGGATAGCAAAGGGGGGGGTGAGAATCAGCTCACGTAGCTGATTTTCCCGGCGCCTCCTGGCGCCGCCTGGCGCCGGAGGCGGCTTATGTATCGAGGAATGGGCTCCTCGGTGAGGCCGAAACCAGCTGCATGCAGCAAATTTCGTAACCCCCCCTTTCCCAATCCCCCCCTTTCGTCCGGCCCGAGACTCGTAGCAGATTGTGGAGTAGGCTGGGGCGGCTGGCGTGAGCTGCAGGCAATCGCCAGCATCGAACCTAATCTCTGTCGAAATGGAACGTTAAAAAGAAACAAGCTACGTGCAGCAGAGGGCGTAGATCGGTGGGGGCCGCTTTGAGAATTACGATGCTTCCGCCTTGTTCCGGGAGAGCCTTTCGGCTGCCCTTTGAGCTTTTATCGGAACACGCGGAGCTCTACGAAGGTTCCGGCGGTAACTAGGTTGACGGTCTACCGCCGGCGTCCAGTCTGCCGTCCCTCGACTCGCGGTGGAGCGGCCATGATTTGCTCCAAACTGCCCTGGAAATCTTCGGGATTTACCTGCGATGTACCTGGATTTGCCCGGATGTGCGGTTTATCGACGTCTGCTTTCATTAATCCGGCTTGATCCCCACAAGTCGATAAGCGAAAGGTCGTCAAGCCCGAGGGACTGAGGAGGGGAAGCATTAAGGGGGGGGACGCGAAAGGCCGACAAGTTCGAGGTTTGAGGCGTTCGGGCGTTTTCGTCAGCGCTCGGCAGCTTTCCAGCCTCGGGATGCCTTCCAGCGGCTGCGCCTCGCCGAGGGCATTCCGGGGGTGCTCGGACCGTCCTGAAGGGCCGCCGGAGAGCCGAGCTGACCCGAAAGCCACGGGGCAACGTTCTGGGGGAGACCAGCTCGGAGGGGGAAACATCGAGCTGGAATCGGCGATGCATCGCCGACAGATCGGCGACAGGCGCGGGATTGCAAATCCGAAGGCTCCTTGACAGGTTGGGGCTATCAGGCCCCTGTCGGCGATGAGTGGGCGATTGGAGATCGATGCATCCACCCCTCGGGAGCGGCCAAGAGGGGGGTGTCCAAGAGGGGGGGGTGCACATCATGACCGGCGGCATGTGCGCGGCCCAGCGGGGGGGCCAGAGACGTAATGAGATAAGAAGAGGCGCCATAAAATCAGGGGAAAAATCATGACCCCCGCCATGATATCCACCCCCCCTAGTCATCACCCCCCTCTTTGCCGCCCCCGAACCCCTGAGCCCATTCCCACCCTGACGTTGCCCCGGAACTGAGCGACGAAAAGCAAGGGGCCTTAAGGACAATGACATAGCGACCTTGCACGGTGGCTTACGCGAGCCGCCGGCGCGGCATGCTGCCGTGGAAACGAGGCGCTCACGCGCGACCTTACGCAAGCAGCTTGCGCGCGAATATCCGCCAGAGACCCCTCGGCGTCGACGGCGACATGGCCGACTGTTCGCGCCAGGCCCTGACACCCATAGAATCCCACCAGCCCTCTGGGCGTCGGTGGGTTAGGGCGTTTCCTCCTCCACCCCTCCTTCTTCCCCTTCGGGGAGGGGTTTACTCCTCCCCCTACCCCTTCCCATGGACCTGGACAACGGGTTTCGCGAGGTGTCAGGGCGTCCAAAACGGCCTCGGCGAGGAAGCCAAAATCATTGATATCACTATGGCATTTTGGCCTTCTGGGAGGGCGACTGTAATCCGTAACCCCCCCTCATGTGATCGATCTCACACAAGATGGCCCAAAGATGGCACCCAAGGCTCCCAAGGGTGCCCCAAGAGGGCCCCAAGAGGTGGCCAGGAAGCCCCAAGAGGCCCCCAGGATGCCCCCAAGAGGCTCCCAAGAGACCCCCAAGAGGCCACAAGAGACCCCCCAGAGGCAGCCAAGATGCTCCAAGAGGCCTCGGCGAGAATGCCCAATCATTGATTGCGCGAAGGTTTTAGCCACATGTTGGCCTCTTGGGAGGCGGTACTAATTAAGATGACTCCAAGAGCGCCTGGGCGAGCCCAAGATGACCTCCAAGATGGCTCAGGATATCCCAAGATGTCTCATAATGGCTTCCTCTGTGTGCTGCCCACTTCCCTGATCGAGGCAATTTCCTCTGGGCATCGTTTCTGGATGGGCTGGTGGGGATTCTTTTTAGGCCGCGGCCGTAGGCGAGAGCGCCAGCGGCGAGTCCAGTCAGAGCGGGCCGCGCAAAGACAAGCTGGTGGGGATTCTTGTTTTGGTCGCAGCCACCAGCGGGCGCGCACGCGGCGAGAGAAGTTGTCCGGGCCGACGGGCAAACCTAGTTAGCTACTGAGCGCAGCACGAGCCGGCCGGGCCAGCTCACAAACGCGGCAGCTGGGACAGCGGCAGCGGGGGGCTGGCTGGCTGAACTGGAACTTCCAGGGAAGCTCAAGCAACGTGCAACCCTGCGGCAAAATGACAGGGAATTCTGTGTTACGCGCTGTGGCGGCCAGACGTGGTAAACGATGGGCCGTCGCCAGTGGGGCGCCAAGCCCAAGCCGCGCCAACGGCGTGTGTTGCCAGCTGAGCTGCTCCGCCGAAAAAACGCCGAATACCAAGCTGGTGGTGGGGTGGGCCCGGAGGGCGGCCGAAACTGCGAAGGCTGAACCACTCGGAGCTGGCTGTGCCTCCAGGGCCGTGCGCGGTGTGAGGCCAAGCTGGTGGTGAAGAACATCGCCAGCAAGGTGGGGCGTCCAGGGTGGAGCTGCGCTGTCGCTGCTGCGTGGTGCACGTCGGAGGCCACCATGGGACGGCCTTATCCGCCGCGTCCCGCCATTCCCCGCGGGGAACCAGGGTCACCGTCGAATCCGCCATACCACGTGGGCTTCCAGGGTCGCAGCTAACCGCCGCTGAAGGTGAGGTAACGTTGCCACTGTCAGCGGGGGTCCAGGGCAGCCCTGGGGAGTGGGGACGAGAGCCTACGAGACCAGCTGGCACGCCAGGCGTTAGCCCGGCCAGAAGGAGACCCGGAGGGTGGAGCGGAGGGGAGACGCAACCGACCACCCGCGCGGAGGGGCACCACGGGGGCGCCCAGCGAAGGACGCGCCGGGAAACGGGAGCCCCGAAGGCCGAGGGCGGGGGACGCGGCCAGGGCCCGGCCCAAGAGGGACCCGAGGAGAGAGGCGGCGGGGACGAACATCACAGCCCCTCGAACGGGCCCCAGGTGCACCTGGCCCGGGGACACGGCCGCCATTCCCGAGGTTCATCCAGGGTCGCAGCTAACCGCCGCTGAAGTCGGGTAGTACCGAATGGTAGGTCTTTCGTACGATGTTGGTGTGGTTCAGGGTGGGCAGCCTGCAGCCGGTGGACAGACACGCTGAAGGCTGGGCTGCCACCGCGGAGGCCGGAACCTCCGTGGGGACGGCGTGTGTTGGTTCATCCAGGGTCGCAGCTAACCATTGGTGGGGATTCGCAAAGCGTCAACAATTCCATAGGATACCCATTGGATTCCAGGATTCCCTAGGATTCCCATAGTAAGATTCCCTAGGATCCCATAGGATTCTCATAGGCCTGGCGTCGCGGAAAAAAATGCAACCTTGCGGCTGAAGACCCTTGCAGAGGGAGAGGGGAGCGGGAAGGGGACGCAGCCATGTGCGCGAGGAGGGTGGGCAAGGAGGAGGAGGAGGAGGCGACGGAGGAGGCATGGAGAAGGGACGGGAAGCGAGACGAGGAAGCCATGGGGAAGGGCCCGAAGCGGGCATGAGACGAAGAGATAGGAGCGGGGGACGGGACAAGGAGCAGGGGGGCAAGAGGTGGAGGGGCGTTCCGCAAACGAAATGCGGGGCCCACTTCATTTTCAAAATCGATGTAGAGGACACGGGAGAATATCCAGCACAAGTATCTTCAAACCAAACGTCCCAAACACATGGCAATCATAGTATATGCAACCAGGAGCCAGCACCATGCCGTAGACACAAAATGGACTGCCCACAGGTCCCTTCGATCTCTGAACGAGTCTTCTAAATGTACTTGAAGGATCGTGGGCCCGTGGTTCTGGGGCTCTTCTGGGCGTTTTTGGGGCTTGCCGCGTTCTGGATGCCTCGGGAGCGTGGCTGTGTCCGAAAATGGGCCCACGGTGTCGCCCTGGGGTTACATCGGGGGCCGCTTGGGTCGTCTAGGAAGACGCGAGGGGTGGCGGAGAAATTGTAGAACGAGTGAACTACCACATGCTGTCTGATCTTCATATTCTCGGCGTTCCGATCTTATGGGGCGTCCAAGACGGCCTAAGAGGTCACTGATATCTCCATTTTCCCTTTATATATATCCCCCAAAGATAATTACCCCTAAGCCCCCCCCCTAAAGGGGCCCGAGGTGCCTCCAGCATGACTCCAAGAGGGGCCCAGCAGGCGGAGCTCGAATTGACATTTCGAGCCCTCCACCCCGGATATTACTTCCGAGACCGCCAGCAGGCCCCCCCCCACACACACCCAGAAGCGCCCAGGAGGCCCTGATAGGCCTCCAAGGGGCGCCCAGAAGGTCTCCCAAGAGACCTCGGGAGGCCTTCCAAAGGCTTCCTGTCCACGGCCCAAACACGGTGGCGGGATGGACCGAAAGCCAACTGCGACCCTGAGATTTGCGACCCCCAGGTCGCGAATTTCAGGGTCCCAATTTGCTCCCGCAGGCGTCGGAGCTCAGGGTGGGCTATGAGCGTGACTTAGCGGATGGGGGTCCCGGCTCGAGCGGGAGCCGCCTCGGACTCCGGCAACTCGCATCCATACCTATGGCGCGCTCTCAAGTCGCGAGGCGCTGGTCAGCAGGGAAGCGTTTTCTTATTCGGCGTTTCGACATTGAGCGATGAGGGGGGAGGGGGAGGGGGGTGGGTCTGGCTCTGGACCTCTGCTTAGTGCGACTGTTTGCGACAGTGCTTGCTGTGAGGGGAGACCCCACCTGCTCGAATACAGGCGCCAATCACAGCCAAGATCTACTTCATGGGGGGGAGGGAGGGGGGTGCGAGGGCCCGCGCCGATCGGCAAAACAACTATCCTGGCGAAGGACCCAACCAAATGCAGTTGTGAGTAACGCGTTGTGGGTGCCGCTTTCGGTGGACCTCCCTATGGGGCCACGAAGCGCGTGAAGGACGTGCCGTAATGGGTGGGGAAGACGAATGCGGGCGGTGCCACTGGGGCCTTCGGTGGGGCTCCCTATGGGCCACGAAACGCTGTCCTGGGTGTGGCTGACGCATGCGGGCGGTGCCCCTCACTGGAGCTCCCGGTGAGGCCACGAAGCGCTGGACTTGTTTGGGGGAAACGCATGCGGGCGGTGCCGCTGGGGTCTTTCTGTGGAGCTCTCTACGGGGCCACGAAACGCTGCACTGGGTGGTGGCCGACGCATGCGGGCGGTGCCACTGGGACCTTCGGTGGAGCTCCCTATGGGGCCATGGGAGGGGGGGACGCATGCGGGCGGTGCCACTGGGGCCTTCGGTGGAACTCCCTATTGGCCCACGAAACGCTGCACTGGGTGGGAGATCGCATGCGGGCGGGCCACTGTGGCTCTCTACGGGGCCATGAAACGCTGTACCGGGTGGGGGGGACGCATGCGGGCGGTGCCACTGGGGCTTGGTGGAGCTCACAATCAATAGGGCCGCGAAATGCAGTACTGGGTGGTGGACGGCGCATGCGGGCGGTGCCACAAGGGTCTTTTTGTGAAGTTCCCTATGGGGCCACGTAGCGCTGTACTGGGTGTGGCGGACGCATGTGGCAACCCCCACAGGGGACTTACGTGGAGCTCCCTATGGGGCCACGAAGCGCTGTACTGGGTGTGGCGGACGCATGTGGCACCCCCCACTGGGGCCTTGGGTGGAGCTCCCTATGGGGCCACGGAGCGCTGTACTGGGTGTGGCGGACGCATGTGACCACCCCCAGTGGGGCCTTACGTGGAGCTCCCGGTGGGGCCACGGAACGCTGAACTGGGTGTGGCGGACGCATGCGGCCACCCCCACTGGGGCCTTGGGTGGAGCTGCCTATGGGGCCACGAAACGGAGTACTGGGTGTGGGGGACGCATGCGGCCACCCCCACTGGGGCCTTGGGTGGAGCTCCCTGTGGGGCCACGACGCGCTGTACTGGGTGTGGCGGACGCATGCGGCCACCCCTACTGGGGCCTTGCGTGGAGCTCCTTGTGGGGCCACGGAACGCCGTACTGGGTGTGGCGGACCCATGTGGCTACCCCCACTGGGGCCTTGGGTGGAGCTCCCTATGGTGCCACGAAGCGCTGTACTGGGTGTGGCGGACGCATGCGGACACCTCCACTGGGGCCTTACGTGGAGCTCCCTGTGGGGCCACGGAACGCTGTGCTGGGTGTGGCATGTGGCTACCCCCACTGGGGCCTTACGTGGAGCTCCCTGTGGGGCCACGAAGCGCTGTACTGGGTGTGGCGGACGCATGTGGCACCCCCCACTGGGGCCTTGGGTGGAGCTCCCTATGGGGCCACGGAGCGCTGTACTGGGTGTGGCGGACGCATGTGACCACCCCCAGTGGGGCCTTACGTGGAGCTCCCGGTGGGGCCACGGAACGCTGAACTGGGTGTGGCGGACGCATGTGGCGGACGCATGCGGCCACCCCCACTGGGGCCTTGGGTGGAGCTGCCTATGGGGCCACGAAACGGAGTACTGGGTGTGACGGACGCATGTGGCCACCCCCAGCGCGGCCTTGGGTGGAGCGCCCTATGGGGCCACGAAGCGCTGCATTGGGTGTGGCGGACGCATGTGGCCACCCCCACTTGGGTGGAGCTCCCTATGGGGCCACGACGCGCTGTACTGGGTGTGGCGGACGCATGTGGCCCCCCCCCACTGGGGCCTTGGGTGGAGCTCCCTATGGGGCCACGAAGCGCTGTACTGGGTGTGGCGGACGCATGTGGCCACCCCCACTGGGGCCGCAGGTGGAACTCCCTGTGGGGCCACGGAGCGCTGTAGTGGGTGTGGCGGACGCAGGTGGCCCCCCCCACTGGGGCCTTGGGTGGAGCTCCCTATGGGGCCACGAAACGCTGTACTGGGTGTGGCGGACGCATGTGGCCACCCCTACTGGGGCCTTGGGTGGAGCTCCCTATGGGGCCACGAAGCGCTGTACTGGGTGTGGCGGACGCATGCGGCCATCCCCACTGGGGCCTTACGTTGAGCTCCCTGTGGGGCCACGGAACGCTGTTCTGGGTGTGGCGGACGCATGTGGCTACCCCCACTGGGGCCTTGGGTGGAGCTCCCTATGGGGCCACGGAGCGCTGTACTGGGTGTGGCGGACGCATGTGACCACCCCCAGTGGGGCCTTACGTGGAGCTCCCGGTGGGGCCACGGAACGCTGAACTGGGTGTGGCGGACGCGTGTGGGGCCCCCCCCACTGGGGCCTTGGGTGGAGCTCCCTGTGTGACCACGAAATGCTGTACTGGGTGTGGCGGATGCATGTGGTCACCCCCACTGGGGTCTTGGGTGGAGCTCCCTATGGGGCCACGAAGCGTTGTACTGGGTGTGATGGTGGTGATGATGCTGCTGCTGTTGATGATGATGTTGTGGTTGTTGTTGTTGTTGTTGTTGTTGTTGTTGTTGTTGTTGTTGTTGTTGATGATGATGATGATGCTGATGATGATGATGATGATGATGATTATGATGATCATGATGATGGGAGGAGGGAGGAGGGGGAGGAGGAGAGGAGTGGAGTGACGCGGGGCGCTATGTCTTCAAAACGAAGACCCAACACCACAGGATGGTTGGGAATAAATATCGATCACCAAATTCTGGCCTCGCCCCCTGCTTCCCGCCGCGCCCCTCCGGGCTCCCAGGGCCCACGGGGCCGGCGCGGGCCAGGTCCCAGAGGCGGACAAGACGGGTAAGGGGCCCTGGCCCAACTTCCACCCCGCATTCCCCCTCGCTCTCCCGCTCCTCATGCCACCTTGTCATCCGACCAGGGGAGGGGGAGGAGGAGGAGGAGGAGGAGGAGGAGGAGGAGGAGGAGGAGGAAGAGGAGGAGGGGGAGGAGGAGGGGGAGGAGGAGGAGGAGGAGGAGGAGGAGGAGAGGAGGAGGAGAAGGGGAAGGAGGAGGAGGAGGAGTAGGAGGAGGAGGAGGAGGAGGAGGAGGAGGAGGAGGAGGAGAGGAGGAGGAGGAGGAGGAGGAGGAGGAGGAGGAGCTGCGTGCGCACAAGAGGGTTGCAACTACGCACGCATCAACCACTCGTTTCCTCGATCTTGCTCATGCTCCCCTTCCCCTCCTGGGATCCTGGACCCGTCGTGCTCCGCCGCGCTCACTGCGCCACCGCAGCCATCTGGGCGCTCAGCATGCTCGCCTTCCGCTCCAGAAGCTTGGTGAGCATCTTGGACGCGGCCTCCGCCTTCCGCAGGGCCTGCTTGTACTTGCGGTTCGGCCCATTGGCCGTGCCGTCGCTCTTCACATCGGCCTCGGCCCTGCCGAGCTCCTCCAGAGCACCCTCGAGCACGCGGAGCTGCGAGTTCACCGTCCTCGCCTTAAACTCCCTGTTCTTGGCCAGCATCCTCTCGTTGGCAGTCTGCACGTCGCCCTGGGCGTTCACGAGCGCCTCGTCCTTGTCCTTCTCCTCTTCCATCTCGTCGATCTCCTCCTGGAGCTCGGCCGCCTTCTCGGCAGCGGCCTCAAGGATGCCCTTCCTGCCGTTCTCGATCATCCACTGAGGCACCTCCTCGTTCACCTGCTGCAGCTCCGCGACCTTACACGCCGCCCAGCGGTTGGCCCACTTGGCGTCCTCCTCCACAATCTCGTCCATCCACTTCGGCGTCTCCTTTCCCTCGGCCTTCATGCGCTTTGACTCCGCGACCGCCCACTTCGCCTTGCCCCTCTTCTCGTCGTCGGACACGATCTTGTCCATCCACTCGGGGACCGTCTCGTTCTTTTCGAGCATGTCCTTCACCGCCTTCTTGGCCCACTCGAGAGTGATGTGCTGTTGCATGCGTTCCTTCCGCTGCTTCCAGGTCAGCTGGCTCTCGTCCTTGCACCACGTGGGGGCGCTCTCGGGCAGGAGGCCGAAGGAGCCCTCCTTGAAGTCGACGGTCACCTCCTCGTCCGAGCGCATGGGGGCGAGCTCGTCGACGGTGGAGACGCTGGACTGCAGGAGGATGGTGCCGTCCTGCTGGGCCATCGCGCCCACGGCCACCAGAGCAGCAGAGCACATTGCCTTGAGCGCCATGGCTGCCCAAAGTGACACCTGACGATCGTATAGTTATGCGGAATGATTCAAGAAAGCTTGAGCCAAACTGGCTACTCGTGGAGCAGCGTTGCGCCGCTGGGTTCGCCCCGAGGCAACGACATGACACCTTTTGTCCTGACGCCAGGACCGCGGGGACAGCCTTGCGCTGCAAGGGGGAAGCGGATGAGGATGAGTATGAGGATGAAGATGCGGAGGAGGAGGAGGATGCGGAGGAGGAGGAGGAGATCCCATCACCTGCCCCACCTCCCCCTCTTCCCCTCCCTCCTCATATCCTGCCTCCTTCCCTGCTCATTCCCCTCCCTCCCCTCCCCTGCCTCCCCCTCCTCCCTCCCCGGCCGCTCCTGGAACCTCCTCGGCACGGCTGTCCTCCCTCCTCCTCCTCCTCCTCCTCCTTCTCCTCCTCCTCTTCCATTCCTTTCCTTCTAAATACTTAAGTCCTCCGCGTCGCACCCCGAATCCAGTCCAAAGGGCGGGCTGGGCGTTTCGCCTGACTGCTTTACCATTTCGGACCCTGACGCTTACACATGGAAGACAGTTTCACAGATGGAGGGCGGATGCTTTTCCAAATGTGGCTCTCGCCTTAGCAACGCGCGCACTCATCTTATACATCTGCAAGAGTTTCATGGATTGAGGGCGGGTGGCTTTCAAAATGTGGCTCTCGCCTTAGCGCGGATTGAAGGCGGGTGGCTTTCAACATGTGGCTCTCGTCTGTGCGCCGTGCACACTCGTGTTGAGCATGTGCAAACTCTTCACGGATCCCCATGGTTAACGTACCGGAATATTGCATGGAGCGATTCAGGACTGCCAGGGCGCAACAGGGACGCTGATTCGTGGTGTTGAGGTACTAGGAATGGTGTTATGGCACAGTTCAGGGTTGTCAAGATGCAGCAGTCAAGTTCATTCGTGGCGTTGAAAGTCCCGATGATGATGTTTTGGCACGCTTCATGATCTTCAAACGGTTGTCTCCCAACGGGGTTCAGTGGAAATGAATCCTTGTAGGGGCCTTTGAAGAGGGAGCTTGGGGGAGGATTTATTCCAACATCTTTGATGAGTCTTGGGTTTACACTGGTCCTCCTCCTCCTCCTCCTCTTCCACGTCTCCCGCTTTCCCCCGCTCTCCTTGCGTCTCCTCTGCCTTCTCACCCTCCTCGAGCTCCACCGGCTCTGTATCCATCCGACCTTTCCCAAACTCCTTCCCACCCTTGGCGAAGCGTTCCCGAATCGGTGCTATGTTCACTGTGAGTCGAACGACGCCCCTTGCGGCGCCTCGCCCCATAACAGCCAGGAGGAACCTAAGATGCCCCCAAGACGGGCCCAAGCGGAAGAATCCGAACTGCCAGTTCGAGCCCTCCACACTGAGATGGCCCCCGAGACCGTCTAGGGGCCTCCAAGAAACGCTCTGGAGGCCAGGGCAAGCTCCCGATAGGCCCTCAGGAAGTTACCAAGAGAACTTCAAGAGTCCCTGGTGAATGTTCAAGGGGCGCCCCAAATGTCTCTCAAGAGAACTCCCAAGAGATCCCAGGAGGCCTTCCAGAGGCTTCTTGTCCACGACCCAGGCGCAGTGGCAGCATGGGCCGAAGGCACTTAGATGTCCGCCGCCCCCTGTTGATTCATCACAGGGGTGCCCGGCGTGCTGAACCCTTTCGCTTTTGGTTTTGGTTCTTTCTCCAAAGGAACTCCCCCTGGGGCTTCGGCCCGTCCCGCTGGCCCCCTGAAAAAGTGCATAACAGGTGGTTGCAACGGGTTTTTTGCCTCCAGACGGCTCGAAGATGGCCTCCAAGATGCCTCCAAGATGGCCTCCAAGACGGCCTGAGAGGGTCCACGATACTTCCAGATACGCCCAAGAAGCCTCCAAGACGGCCCAAGACTCTTCCAAGACTGCCCAAGAGGTCTCCGAGAGGTCTTCCAGGAGGGCCTTAAGATGCAAAAATCATTGATTTTCCTATGGTGTTTGAGCGATTTTCGTATTTGCTCTTTGTCGGCCTTTCGACGACCCAAGACGGCCCAAGAGGCCCCCAAGATCGCCCCCAGCGCCCAAAGAGGCCTCCAAGATGGCCTCAGGACTGCCCAAGAGGCCCCCAAGACGGCCCCAAGAGGGCCCCAAAATGGCCCAAGAGGCCTCTAAGACGCCCAAGGAAGCCTCCAAGACTGCCCTGGAGCACCCCAGAGAGGCCCCCAAGAAGGCTTCCGACGGCGTCAGACGGGCCAGGAGCCCACCAAGACGGCCCAAGATGGCTCTAAGATGGCCTAAAGAGAGCCCCCAGGAAAACCCGAAGAGCCTAAAACCATCGATTTTCCAAAGGTTTTGCAGGATTTTGGTATGTGCTTCTTTTCGGCCTTCCGACGGCCCGAGACGGCCCAAGAGCCCCCAAAGATCGCCCAAGAGGCCTCCAAGATGGCCACAGAACGGCCCAAGAGACCCCCAAGACGGCCCCAAGAGGGCCCAACGACGGCCCAAGAGCGGCGCTAAAGCGAGAACCACATTTTGAAAACGACCCGCCCTCAATCCGTGAAACGCTCGCACATTTTCCAAACGAATGTGCGCGGCACTAAGGCGACAACCACATTTTGAAAACGACCCGCCCTCAATCCGTGAAGCTCTTGCAAATGTTTCAAAACGAATGTGCGCGGCGCTAAAGCGAGAACCACATTCTGAAAACGACCCGCCCTCAATCCGTGAAACGCTTGCAAATTTTCAAAACGAATGTGCGCGGCGCGCTAAAGCGACAATCACTTTTTGAAAACCACCCGCCATAGTCTTGAAACTCTTGCAACTGTTTACAGCGAATGTGCGCGGCGCTAAAGCGAGAGCTACATTTTGAAAACCACCCGCCATCCATCTGTGAACCTGTTGTCACTATGTAAGTTTCAGAACCATACATGGGGAGGAAGTCTAAGGCGAAACGCCCGACCCGCCCTAAAAACTGGCCTCGGGGTGCGACAAGGAGGAGTTATCTATAAGGGGGAGGAAAGACGGAGTAGTAGTAGTAGTAGTAGTAGTAGTAGTAGTAGTAGTAGTAGTAGTAGTAGTAGTAGTAGTAGTAATAGTAGTAGTAGTAGTAGTAGTAGTAGTATAGTAGTAGTAGTAGTAGTAGTAGTAGTAGTAGTAGTAGTAGTAGTAGTAGTAGTAGTAGTAGTAGTAGTAGTAGTAGTAGTAGTAGTATAGTAGTAGTAGTAGTAGTAGTAGTAGTAGTAGTAGTAGTAGTAGTAGTAGTACTAGTAGTAGTTGTAGTAGTAGTAGTAGTAGTAGTAGTAGTAGTAGTAGTAGTGTAGTAGTAGTAGTAGTAGTAGTAGTAGAGTAGTAGTAGTAGTAGTAGTTAGTAGTAGTAGGAGGAGGAGGAGGAGGAGGAGGAGGAGGTAGGAGGTGGAGGTGGAGGTGGAGGTGGAGGGCGAGGAGGAGGAGGAGGAGGAGGAGGGAGGAAGGGGAGGAGGAGGAGGAGGAGGAGAGGGAGGAGGAGGAGGAGGGGGAGAGGAGGGGGAGGAGGAGGAGGAGGAGGAGGAGGAGGAGGAGGAGGAGAGGAGGAGGGAGGAGGAGGGAGGAGGAGGAGGAGAGGAGGAGGAGGGGGAGGAGGAGGAGGAGGAGGAGGAGAGGAGGAGGAGGAGGAGGAGGAGGAGGAGGAGCAGGGAGGAGGAGCAGGAGGAGGAGGAGGAGGAGGAGGAGGACGAGGAGGAGGACGAGGAGGAGTAGGAGGAGGGGGAGGACGAGGAGGAGGACGAGGAGGAGGAGGAGGAGGAGGAGGAGGAGGGATGTTGCATGAAGTCTCAAGTGGAACGGTGGTCCCCGGTTTCGGGGAGGAGCCTGGAAACGGGTCCCAGGGCGATTTGGTGCGCACGGGGCCTGCGGGGTACATGGATGACGTCGTGCAGCCCCTCATGGCCCCAGCTGCTGATATTGTTGGAAAGATGAGAGTGTGCGCCGGCATATTTGAGGACGTTTTCTCCCGCCACGCTCTTGTCATCAACTTTAAACGGGGGAAAACAGAAGCCCTGTTTCGGTTTGTTGGTGCTGGGTCAGCAGACGCCCAAAAACGCTTGTTTGTTGATGACAGCGGCTTGATATGTATCGAGTCCAAGGGTGTTCAGAAACAGCTTGTTGCAACGTCGCAATACAAGCACGTCGGCACTGTTACGTGTTCGACTGACTCGATGCATCCTGACATCACTGCGAAAGTAGGTGCCATGCAGGGGGTTTCCACACAACTGCGTCACAGCGTGCTTCAGCGCAGGAGCGTTCCTGTTGAGACCCGGCTTGCATTGTGCCAGGGCGTTGTTTTCACGCGAGGATTGCACCAATCTAGCACGTGGCCACAGTTGTATGCTGCTGAGCTGTTAAGAATGCACACAGCCGTGATGCAAGTCTATTCGTCTGTTCTTCGGGAAGATGATGATGTGCGCCGGGCGCCGTCGCACGAGGCCATTGCGCAGTGCGAGGGTTTCATCGCTCCGGCAATCATGATTCTCTACATGCGCTTGTGCTTGTTCACGTGTGTTTGCTTGCGCGCGCCGCGCACTTTGTCCGCCATCCTTTCACATACCATTGGTGTGCGCAGATCCTGGATGCAGGCAGTGTCGGAGGATTTGGCGTTTCTGGTCTCACGGGCGGAATCGTTTGCCCAAGCCGCACCTCAGCCAATCGACCGGTGGATTGCTGAAATCCGCACACAACCTAAACGATTCAGAGCCTGTTTGAGAGCTGCGAAGATAGAGCGTGAGGTGAATCGCCCGCAGGTGTGGGCGAAGACCCGCCGCATGGCTGAGGTCAATCATGTATTCGCCTGTCAGGAGTGCTCCTACACGTGCGCGTCCCGGCAGCAGCTGGCAACCCATGCCTTCAATGTGCATGGTGTCCGGCGCCGCACACGTGAGCTCATTGATGCGGTGCATTGCCCTGTGTGTATGCAGTGTTTTCACACCCGCGTGAGAGTCATTACTCATCTTGAAGAGCGTTCGGACAGGTGCCGCGCTGTCGTCATGCAGTGCTTCCCACGTCTGCCAGACACCGTCGTGGCGGATCATGACAGGCGGGACGCGGAGGCCGCCAGAGGCCGTGCAAGGAAGGGCCAGAGACCGGAACACGCGGACGCCCCTGCCTGTGGGTTGGTTGGGCCTTTGACCAGGGAGGCATACGAAGCTGGCTTGAGCCACAAGTCCCCCCTCCACTCCTCTTCCTCCTGCGAGTGAAGCTGGCCGCGGCGCCTCCAGAGGAGGGACGCCTCCATTTCGTGTACTGTCCCTCACCTGTCCCCCCATTCCGGTGCATGATCTTCCCCACAGACGGGCACGTTCCAAGCCGCACGGAACGAACGAACGAGGAGGAGGAGGAGGAGGAGGAGGAGGAGAAGGAGGAGGAGGACAATGGGGAGGAGGAGCGCGAACAGCGGCCCTCGCCGAGGGCGGAAAACGACAGCGAACGACAGCAATGGCAACGAGGCCCGCGGGGCCCCGCGCCGGGCGCCGCATCGCGCGGCCGGCGCTTCAGGCGCTCCGGCGGGGGCCAGCGACGACGACGACGACGACGACGACGACGACGACGGTGTTGGCGGCGATGGTGACGGCGAGGATGGCAACGGCGACGGCGGCGGCGGCGACAGCAACGTCGACGACGACGGCAGCTGCGGCGGCGGCGGCGGCGCTTCGGAGGCGGCGGCGGCGACGGCTGCGGTCACGGCGACGACGACGGCGGCGACGATGGCGGCGGCGGCGGCGGCGGCCACGCGCTCCTGTGCGAGCAACGCGAGCATCTTGCCGGCGAGCGCGGCGCTCCTCCGCAGCGCTTCTTGCAGGGGGAAGTCCAATCATACGCGCCAGCGGCAACACTGTCGAGGCCCCGCCCTGGGGTCAAAATCGGTTTATGCGCCATCCTGGCTTGGCCAACAGCGCGTGCATACCACTCCTGAATGCAGCCCGGTCTCGCTTGGCCGCCTTGGATAGGGTCTGTCAAGAAGTGTACGCCAGTCGTGGATTTGATGGGACTGGCCAGGAACGGCGTTGGGGTCTGCTTCGCGTCCCTCGATTTGGGACGTTGCTCAAAGCGGACCTCCTCCTGCTGTTCCTGTTGTTCCTCATCGGCTACAGCGCCTGGCCCCGTGGAGAGGCCGCATCGAATTCAGGTTTTGATGTGTGTAGATTTCTCTGTGAGGTAGCATGAGCACAGCTGTAACGCTTAGGCCAACGTGCACCACCACCACCACCCAGCCCAACATCATATTGCAGACAAACGTATGGAAGACATGGGAACGCAATTTAGCTGGAAACGTTCAACATGAATGTGGGCGGTCTGGTTTCGTGTGTTTGCCATGTGTAAGCTTGGTGCTCGTAAAGAACTTTCGCGCTTCTACAGCACGCCCTCGTGCGAAACAAAACGCGTGTAAACCAAGGCGGTGCGCGCGTGACCATCGTGATGTGCTGATGTTGTGCGCACGTGCCTGGCGCTGAAGCCTTGCGCGCGCGTGCCCGCAAAAACCCGGAAATTTGGGACATCGTCCGGGCGCTTTCCAACAAAAGTGAACATGTCGAGCAGTTTTCTTCATCCCTCGTCCAAGCAGGAAGCAAATCTGCACACGACACCAAACGCCAACCTCCCACCGAGGCTCAGGAAATCGGTAGTCGTGCTCCAGGGGAGGGGATCGGAATCGCGGCGCCGCGGACCGACCGTGAGGACAGGCGGGCGGGCGGGCCTGCGGCGCCCATGCACCTCCTCTGGAAAATAGCCGTGGAGGTGGCCCCTCTCGGAGGACGACGATGACTCGACGAAGCGGCGCCCCCGTTACGTCCTCCTGACTTTCACGGGGGGCGCGTCGAGAGTGGCCCGCGGCTTCGCCAAGCCCCAGCGGCCCAGCGGCGGCTGCGGTCCGCGGCTCTTGACCGCGCTTCCCGCTCCCTCTGGCCCCAAGTGGCCTGAGCATCTCCGGCGCCTGGATTTGATTTTCAATGCAATTCTGCACCGCGTTCGCCCCACCAAGCGTATTCCGACATCTTCTGGCAATGTGTATGATATTCCGCGCCGGCTCAAGGGGAGGTGCAATGCGCCTTCCGTGACACAGCCAGTCTGGATCACATCAGCCATGCAGTTTCGCTTTTTGTGCCAGTTGCGCTGCATTTGTAAAAGAAGCCTGACCATCTTCTTTCCTCACGTTGGGCGCCCAGCGGCCTTCGAGAGAGCAGCGAGGGCACGTGAACGCGAAGCTGCCGTCCCCCGCCGCCGCCTGCTCCGTACGAACTGGCCGCCGAACTTCCTGGGCCACCGAGAAGCCGTGGCCCCGAGGTCCTCCTAAGGCTAGACTGGTGTCAGCAAAACGGTGCTGGTGAAGGCGAGGCTTGCCAAAACCGTGGTCACGGCCTTCGCCGCGAAGGCCTCCAAGGACGAGTTCTGAGGGCGCCGCTGCTGTGAGGCTCCTGTTTTTTTTCTTCTTCCGCGCATTCCTTGACAGAGCACGAACTGGATGGGCACGAGCTCCTGGTCCTGCTTGTCCCCCCCCCCCGCTTGCTCTCGCGCTGTCGGGCTCGCGACCCGGGCTTCCCCCGCTCCTCGTCCTTGTCCTCCACAGGGCGCTGGCTGCCATCCGTGGGCGTGGTGGGACCCGCTGGCCTTGTGAAGGGCTGCCCTGAACTTTGTGTACCCCTGGTGACGAGAAACGGTTTTCAAAGACAGCCGCCTTCTCAGCCTGCTGGTCCTCACCCTCTGTTCCTTTACAAATAACTCTCCCCTGTCGCAGCCCGGGTCCGGTCGAAAGGGCGGGCTGGGCGTTTCGCCTGAGACGCCCTGACCACTTACGAACCCGAAACTTACAGTTTGCGACAGTTGGACTGATGGAGGGCGAGCCGTTTTCAAAATGTGGCTCTCGCCTTGGCGCCACGCGCAGATGTTTCAAAAACATGCAGAAGCTCCACGGATGGAAGATGGTCCGTTTTCAAAGTGTGGTTTTCGCTTCAGCGCCGCGCGTATCTGGCTTGAAAGTTTGAAGGGTCTCACGGATGGAAGGCAATTCCTTTTCAACATGTGGCTCTCGCGTTAGCACCGCGTGCGTTCGTTTTTACAGCTTACAAGAGCTTCACGGATGGAACGCATTTCCTTTTCAAACTGTGGCTCTCGCCCTAACACTACGCGCATTTGTCTTAAACCATGTGCAAGAACTTCACGGGCGGAGGACGGTTCCTTTTCAGAATGTGGCTCTCCGTTTAGCGCCGCGCACATTCGCCTTTAGAGTTTGCAGCGATTTCAAGGATTCTCGTGGTTAGCGTCCCAACAGCGGTGTTTTGGCACAGTGCGTGATTGACAAGGCGCAACAGATACGTCGAGTCGCAATGTTGAAGTCCCATGAATTGTCTTCTGGCACGATCTTAAGGATCGTCAAGACGCAACAGTAGCGGTAATTCGCGGCGTTGAAATCCCAGGGGTGGTGTCCCGGATTTTCAAACGGTTGTCTTCTAGCGGGGTACCTCCCTCAGTGAAAATGAACCCTCCTTCTCCTCTTCCTCCTCCTCCTCCTACTCTTTCTCTTCCTGTCCCCCTTTCTCGAAGTCGTCGTCGTCGTTTTCCTCCTCTTCCTCCTCCTCCAACTTCTCCCTTCTCGTACCCTCCTCCGCCGCCTCCTCGTCATGGTCTTCCTGCCCCTCCTGCCCCTCCTCACCCCTGCCCTCGTCGTCGTTGTCGTCGTCCTCCTCCTGCTGCTCGCGGCGCCTCGTGGAGAGGAAGACGACGTCGACGACGGCTGCGGCGACGAAGACGACGAGCAGAGGCTCTTGTCGGCCGCCGCGCCGCGCGCGGGCAGCCAGTGCGGGCCCGCCTGGGCGGACGCTGCAGAAAGATCCAGCCGCGCTGCCGCCGCCGCCGTGCGGCGTCGTCGCCGCCGCCGCCGTCGCCGCCGCCGCGCGCTGCCGCCGGGGTCGCCGCCGCTGTGGCCCGCCGCCCGAAGCCCGACACCGCGGGTTTCGTCGTCGCCGCCGCCGCCGCCTGCCGTCGCGCGCTGTCGTCGCCGCCGCCGCCGTTGGGTTTGGGCGCGCTGCCGCCGTTGCCGCCCGCCGTTGCCGCCGCGGTCGTCGTCGGCGTCTTCATCTTAGAAGCGTTTTTGTGCGTTTCTTGGATGTTTCGTTGCCGCGGCACAGCGCGGCTCGCAAAGCTGGCCAGGATGGACCCCGGAAACGACGACGACGACCCACGACGACGACCCCAGGACACGTCCTGAGGAACTTCTGGCCGAACTTTCGAGACGGATCTACCCGTGGCCTCACCGAGACCCCCAAATGGGCAAAACGCCCAACAACCTCGCCCTTCGAACTTCTAGTTTTCGAGCTTCGATCGACGGACAACGGACAACGGACGACGGACGACCTACGAAGGACGACAGACGACGGATGACTACGACCACGACAACGACCACTACCACAACAACGACCACGACCACGACCGCGACCGCGACGACGACGAAAACGACGACCGCGACGACGACCACAAGTACGATTACGACCACGACCACGACGACGACGAAAACGACGACCACGACCACGACCACGACGACGACCACGACGACGACCACGACGACGACCACGACCACGACCACGACGACGACCACGACCACGATCACGACCACGACGACGACGACGACGACGACGACGACGACGACGACGACGACGGACGACCGACGACGACCATCGACGGGCCTCCTGTGGGGCACTGGCGGGCGCCGCCAAGGCGGCGGCGCTGCAGGCGGGGCCGCCCTCGGGCGCGCGCGTGCGCGCGAGGCCTCGGGAGGTCCTCTCGGAGGTCTCCAGCGGGCTTCGGCGGCCCTCTCTTCTTTCGATCGGGCAGGTCCCCCTACTCCAAATCCCTCATGAATCGACCCCCGCCAAAAAAACCGGACCCTCCTCCAAATTCGACCTAATATTCCGGACCTCCCTCTTCGACGGATCGCCTAAATAAACCGGACCCCCAAAGCTTCAATCCAAAGGAAGCGCCCTAATAAACTGACCCCCCCCAATCACCAAAAAGGTGCTTAAAAAACTGGACCCGGGGGGCGATGAATAAGGGATTTGGAATACAGGCGGATTTGGGACGAAAACTTCACAATAGTCAAACAATTTTCGAAAATAGTCATCGAAACTCGTCAATCAATCGTACCAGAGTTATGCTTTTGACTATATTTGAACACTCCTCCTGTAGAGGGACGCGCCCAACTTAACTCTATTTTTCCCGTCCTCCGTCCTCCTCGTCCTCTGGGGTTCGGATGGGCCTCGGGCAAGCCCGGGAATCAAGAAAACCAGAAAAAAAACACACGGACGCGTCAAGATAACGTTGAGGCCCACCAAAGAAACTCAGCCAGGCGTTGGTTGTTTTGGATTTTTTGGTTTGGGGCCTAACAGTGCATGACCAAGCGTCGTTGTTTTTTTTGTTTGGGGGGCTCTTTTTGTCTTTTTGGTGTGGGCCCCACGAGCCCTGACCAGGCGTAGTTTTTTGAACATGTTTCTTTGGTCAGGGGACTCACAAAACCTGGCGTGAGACCTTCCGAAACACCGCTGCCAGACAAGAAAAACTAGAACAACCAACGCCTGGCTAGGTTTCGTGAGCCCCCAGATCTGAAACAACAGAATTCGCCTGGCGAAAGAACCAACCATACGCAGTTATGAATACCGCAATTGTGAATACCATATTCGCCCACGCTCCCTACGTGGCCACGGTTTCCCGCCGGAGCCCGACATGCTCAGGGACACGTTCGCGGCCGTCTTCGCGGGCGCCGACGACGAAGAGGACGGCGCCCCCCTGACCGAGGAGCAGAAGCAGGAGAGGGCTCTGAGAGCCATGAGGGAAGCTGCCACTGGCGCCTTCGGTGGAGCTCCTATGGGGTCACGATCCTCGTGACGGGTGTGCCGAAATGGCCCGAGGCCGCTATGCGAACCCTGCTGCTGGGGCCTTCGGTGGACCTCCCTATGGGGCCACGATCCTCGTGATGGGGTGTGCCGAAATGGCCCGATGCCGCCATGCGAGTTCCGCCACTGGCGCCTTAGGTGGAGCTCCTATGGGGCCACGATCTTCGTCAGGGGTGTGCCGTTATGGCCCGAGGCCGCCATGCGAACATTGCCACTGGTGCCTTCGGTGGACCTCCCTATGGGGCCACGATCCTCGTGATGGGGTGTGCCGACATGGCCCGAGGCCGCCATGAGAACCCTGCCACTGGCGAGTTCGGTGGAGCTCGGCCACGATCCTCCTGAGGGGTGTGCCGAAATGGCCCGAGGCCGCTATGCGAACCCTGCCGCTGGGGCCTTCGATGGAGCTCCCTATGGGGCCACGATCCTCGTGATGGGGTGTGCCGAAATGGCCCGAGGCCGCCATGCGAGTTCCGCCACTGGGACCTTATGTGGACCTCCCTGTGGGGCCACGAAACGTGTGAGGGGTGTGCCGTTATGGCCCGAGGCCGCCATGCGAGTTCCGCCACTGGGACCTTCGGTGGACCTCCCTATGGGGCCATGAAACGTGTGAGGGGTGTGCCGAAATGGCCCGAGGCCGCCATGCGAGTTCCGCCGTTGGGACCTTGGGTGGAACCCTTATGGGGCCACGAGACGTGTGAGGGGTGTGCCGAAATAGCCCGAAGCCGCCATGCGAGTTCCGCCACTGGGACCTTAAGTGGAGCTCCCTATGGGGTCACGATCCTTGTGAGTGGTGTGCCGAAATGGCCCGAGGTCGTCATGCGAGTTCCGCCACTGGGACCTTAGGTGGAGCTCCTTATGGGGCGGCCACGAAACGTGTGAAGGGTGTGTCGAAATGGCCCGAGGCCGCCATGCGAGTTCCGCCACTGGGACCTTAGGTGGAGCCCCCTATGGGGTCACGATCCTCGTGAGGGGTGTGCCGAAATGGCTCGAGGTCGTCATGCGAGTTCCGCCACTGGGACCTTATGTGGAGCTCCCTATGGGGCCACGATCCTAATGAAGGGTGTGTCGAAATGGCCTGAAGCCGCCATGCGAGTTCCGCCGCTGGGACCTTAGGTGGAGCTCCCTATGGGGCCACGATCCTCGTGAGTGGTGAACCGAAACGGCCCGAGGCCGCCATGCGAGTTCCGCCGCTGGGACCTTAAGTGGACCGCCCTATGGGGCGGCCACGAAACGTGTGAGGGGTGTGCCGAAATGGCCCGAGGCCGCCATGCGAGTTCCGCCACTAGGACCTTCGGTGGAGCTCCCTATGGGGCCACGAAGCGTGTGAGGGGTGTGCCAAAATGGGGAGGGGGCCGCCATGCGAGTTCCGCCACTGGGACCTTCGGTGGAGCTCCCTATGGAACCACGAAGCGTTTGAGGAGTGTACCGAAACAGAGACATGCGGAGAGCAACAGCAAGGAGGGGGAGGAGGGGGAGGAGGAAGGTGAGGAGGAGGAGAGGAGGAACGCGGGGCACCGTCTCTTCCAAACGAGGACCCAACACCACAGGACGATTGGGAAAAACCAACGGCTGGCCAGGTTGCGTGAGCCGCCGTACTAGAAAAGTAACCTGGCGAAGGACCCAACCATATTTAGTTGTGGGTATTGCATTCGGGGGAGCCCCGTGTGGGGCCACGAAGCGCTGTACTGGGTGGGGGGGACGCATGCGAACTGCGCCACTGGGACCTTCGGTGGAGCTCCCTATGGGGCCACACAACGCTGTACTGGGTGGGGGGGGGGTGCATGCGAACTGCGCCACTGGGACCTTCGGTGGAGCTCCCTATGGGGCCACGAAGCGCTGTACTGGGTGGGGGGACGCATGCGAACTGCGCCGCTGGGACATTCGGAGGAGCTACCTATGGGGCCACGAAACGCTGCCCTGGGTGGGGAGTGGGACGCATGCGAACTGCGCCACTGGGGCCTTCGGTGGAGCACCCCATGGGGCCACGAAGCGCAGCCCTGGGTGAGGGAACCGCATGCGGGCTGTGCCACTGGGACCTTCGGTGGAACTCCCTATGGGGCCACGAAGCGCGGCCCTGGGTAGGGGGAACCGCATGCGGGCTGTGCCACTGGGACCTTCGATGGAGCTCCCTATGAGGCCACGCAGCGCTGCCCTGGGCGGGGGAACCGCATGCTGGCTTTGCCACTGGACCTTCGGTGGAGCTCCCTATGGGGCCACGAAGCGCTGCCCTGGGTAGGGGAACCGCATGCGGGCTGTGCCACTGGGACCTTCGGTGGAGCTCCCTATGGGGCTACCAAGCGCTGCCCTGGGTGGGGGAACCGCCTGCGGGCTGTGCCACTGGGACCTTCGGTGGGGCTCCCTATGGGGCTACGAAGCGCTGCCCTGGGTGGGGGAACCGCATGCGGGCTGTGCCACTGGGACCTTCGGTGGAGCTCCGTATGGGGCAACGAAACCCTGCCCTGGGTGGGGGAACCGCATGCGGGCTGTGCCACTGGGACCTTCGGTGGAACTCCCTATGGGGCCACGAAGCGCTGCCCTGAGTAGGGGAACCGCATGCGGGCTGTGCCACTGGGACCTTCGGTGGAGCTCCCTATGGGGCCACGAAGCGCTGCCATGGGTTGGGGAACCGCATGCGGGCTGTGCCACTGGGAGCTCCCTATGGGGCTACGAAGCGCTGCCCTGGGTGGGGGAACCGCATGCGGGCTGTGCCACTTGGACCTTCGGTGGAGCTCCCTATGGGGCTATGAAACGTGTGAGGGGTGTGGTGTGCCGATAGCAGAGGCAAGGAGGGGGAGGAGGGAGGAGGGGGCAGCGGGATGAGAAGGAGACGCGGGGCACCGTCTCTTCAAAATGAGGACCCAACACCACAGGATGGTTGGGAACTTGAAACACCAACGCCTGACAACATTTCGCGGGTACCGAGAAGGAGGAGGCAGAGGAGGGGGATGGTTGATGACGAAGGTCAGCTTGGCGGAGGAGGGTAAGGTTCAATATAACGAACATAACATATTATCCTGACGACGGACCCAACCATATGCAAGCGTGAGTACTGCATGGCAGCTGGGACGAACGAAGGGTGACTCCATATAGGGCCAGAAACGTGTGAGGGGTGTGCCGACATGGAGGCGGGTTACTCCGTGCGAGCCCTGCCATTGTGACTGACGGTGGAAGTCCCTGTAGGGCCACGAAACGTGGGAGGAATGAGCCGATATGGAGTCGGGTACAGCATGCGAACCCTTCCACTGTGGCCTTCGGTGGGGCTCCCTATGTGGCATCTGTGCCGCTGGGTGCCCTCGTGGTGTCCTAGGAAAACAAGCGGGTTGGCAGCCCGATCGTCACCACAGCCTGGCGGGGCTGTGGGAGAGACTCTTTCTCTGTGGTTGGCCAACCACAGTAGGTGCGGGCCCGCCATACCACCCCTGAGAGGCCCGATGAGGTTACTCGAAGGGGTCCCCCGGCGGGGTGGGCACAAGAACTAAAGTCCTCTGGCAATGGGGTGTCCGCTGCTTGAGGCCGGCGGCCAAGTGGGGGTGGTGCCGGTGGCCGTGTCTCGGGGTGTCATCTCGAGGCACCTCGCAACGGCGGCGCAGATGTGACGCCTGGGGCGTGTCTGTGCTGCCATTCATGTTGCGAGGTCCGACTGCATGTGAATTCATGCAAACACCTTGGGCACCTCCCTTCGGGTTGTGTCGCCCAAGTGTTCTGTCCGGGCAACAGAAAGGGGCTCCCTATGGGGCCGCGAAGCGTATGAAGTGGATGCCGAAATGGAGGCGGGTACCGTATGCGAAAGCTGCAACTGAGGCCTTCGGTGGAACTCCGTCCGTTTGGGGCCACGACCCGCGTGAAGGGTGTGCCGACATGGATGCGGGTACCGCGTGCAAGCCCTGTCACTGGGGCCTTCGGTGGAGATCCCCATGGGACCACGAAGCAATGTGTGAGAGGTGTGCCGAAATGGAGGCGGGTACCGCATGCGAGCCCTGCCACTGCGGCCGCTGGTGGAGCTTCCTATGGGGCCACGAAACGTGTGACGTGGGTGGCGACATGGAGGCGGGTACCGCATGAGCCCTTCCACTGCGGCCTTCGCTGGAGATCCCTACGGGACCACGAAGCCACGTGTGAGGGGTGTGCCTCCATGGAGGCGGGTACAGGATGCCAGCCATGCCACTGGGGCCTTCGGTGGAACTCCCTCTGGGGCCACGAAAAACGTCAGGTGGGTGCCGACATGGAAAGGCGGGTACCGCATGGCCTTCGGTGGAGCTCCTCTGGGGCCACGAGACGTGTAAGGTGAATGCCGACAGTCCACATCCTCTCCTTCTCATTTTCCTCCTCCTGCACCTCCTCGTCCTCCTCCTCCACCACCTCCTCCTCCTTGTCCCCTCCTTCTTCTTCTCCTCTTCCTCATCTTCCTTCTCCTCCCCGTCCCCTCTCGAGGAAAGGAGGATGGGGAGAAGAAGGAGGAGAAGGAGGAGGAGAAGGAGGAGGAGGAGGAGGAGCAGGAGCAGGAGGAGTAGGAGGAGCAGGAGGAGGAGGAGGAGGAGGAGGAGGAGGAGGGGGAGGAGGAGGACGTGGATGCTGAGAGATGCAGGAGTGGAGGCCGCCCAAAATGGTGCCCCAAGGTCGCGCATCGGCGATGCGTCGGCGACGTCAAGAGGGGTGGCATCGGGCCCTCGATCGTGCCGCATCATCGATGCATCGGTGCTGCGACGCGATCTTCGGCCCCATGTGTTCGGACCCCACTTGTTCGGCCCAGAACGCAGACTTCCGATGCCTCGACTCTTCAACGCTCGGCCCCTGGAAGTCCCGCCCCCTTCCATTGGGACAGGCTCTCCGGCCCGAGCCATCTCCGACGGCCTCGGGGCCTGGCGAGGGCCCCGTTTCGGAAGCCGAGAGCCGTGAAAGCCCCCACGCCTCGATTTTCTCTATGCGCTGGGGGGAAGAAGGAGGAGGAGGAGGAGGAGGAGGAGGAGGAGGAGGAGGAGGAGGAGGAGGAGGAGGAGGAGGAGGAGGAGGAGGAGGAGGAGGAGCAGACGCCCGCCACGGGTCAGACTAGCCAGCACGAACCAATCAGGACCGCCGCGCGTCCTAGGGGCCGCCGCCTCGGGTTCTTCGAGGCAGCGCGCGCATCTAGGGCAGCTGCACGACGACGACAATGACGACGGCCCCGGCGGCAGAACGCGCGCGGGAACAGAAATCGGATACTTACGTATAAGAGTGACCTTTCACGAGAGTGACCTTCGGTGCGGCCACACTGGGGATCCCAAATGGCTGAGCGCGATGCGACAGCAGCGGCTTCCGCGCTCGGGTTCGGCCCCCCCCCCCCCCCCCCCCCCCCGCGCCCCCCCCCGACGCCGCGCACGAAAGGTCACTCTTGCCTAGGGCCACTCCTGCGTGTAGCCGAGACAAGGGGGGGGAAGGAGAACTGGCTCGAGGGGGGAACCGTCGCCCTGGAACCTGCGATGCGTCGGTGACTGATCGGCGATACGTAGGCTCCCGATAGCGAATCCGCGCGCTCCTGGGCGGAGGTGCGCTCTAGGGCCCCTGCAGGCGATAGATGGGCGAGTGGGGGTCGATGCGCCCACCCCCCCTGAGGTTATCGCCCCTCCCCACTGATCCGCGTCGTCTGGCATTCGGGTCGCGACTCGGGCCCCCGGTGGTCTTTCGGGACGACTCGGGCACCCCCAGAACGCTCCCCTCGAGGCGCATCTGCTTGAACGCATCCCGAGGCTG